TGTGTTCCCTAATACTGTGCACTCCAGTCCAATTTTGAACATTCATGCCGATTTACTTACATATTTTTTTCACAGCACTTTGATGGCCATAACAACAGCAACCATTCCCGGAACGGGGACTTCCACAATGATAATCGTCCTGAACGTGGAGGAGGAGCAGAGCTGAATATCAGCGGCGCCGGTAGCAGCAATGGGTACGGTACTTTGCGTAATGGTAATAATTATGGCCGTAACGGGCATCAGAATGGTGGTTCCGGCTCCTTCCATTACCACCACCATAATCATTACAACAGCAACGGACCCTCAACTTCGGCTGTAGCCTTAGCAGGTGGCAGCAGTAGCGTTGCCAGCCTACTTGACGGACCGACTGGCTCTTCTGGTGCTTTAGGATCCACCACTTCGCTCAGCAGCGGGCCCAACGGTTTGAAATCGGACAGTCCTTCGCGCAAAAGACGCCGCATTTCCGGTCGCATGCCCAGCCAGTCACCGCCTGCAATTTGGGAGCAACGACGATCGCCTCGCACTCAGGTTAGCGCGCCTACATATGTATATCTGAGAGGAACTATAAGATGCTATTTAACTGTTTTATGGCTTCTTTTCCAGATGCCGCAGGGAAGTCCACCGATACGACGGCCACGCTTGCGCGAGCCTGGACCGTCACAGCAAGTGCATGGTCACCACATTAACAACACTGGCAATGGCAGTAATAACAATAACAATAATACCAATACCGGCAGCAGTAATCATTTCCAGAGCTATCACCAGCCACAGCATTCTTTACAGCATACGCCATATTACTTGCGCCAACATATGCCGCCGCCAGCACTTCAACAGCAGCAGCAACAACAACAACCACACCAGCCGCAGCAACCACAGCTCCAACAGCGCTCACCGTGGGAACATTCGCTTGCTGCAGTGAATGCTTTCATTCAACAAACGCCGCCCCCGCCACCGTCGCCCGGCCATCACCATCAGACGTCCCTTGTGGGCGCGCCACCCCCACCGCCACCACTGATGTTGGACATCAACCAAGTTCCTGTCAGTCTACCATTGCGGCATGCCGAACCCATTTGGGCGTCTATTTGCACCTATCCCGCGGCACCGCCGCCACAAGCCCGAATAGCCCCTTGCCACTTGCACGGCATCTATACACAACCGTTTGCTGCTCAAGCGTGCAACACGCATCCCAGCACTCAATTCGCACCCGCAACAGCTGGTTTCGCTGCTGCTGCTGGCGCTCCCATACAGATGCCACAGGCGCAACAGGTGCAGGTGAGCGCTGCTGCAGCCGCGCAGCAACAGCAAACGCAACAGGCTGCCGCTCTAATGGCAGCTGCGTCAGTAGCCGCAGCCAACTACCAACATGCTCATTTGACCCAGCAACAACGCACAGAAGCCAGTGCGGCTGCGGCCGCTGTAGCCGGACTTTCGCTCGAACAAGCGACCGCCCACCACCTGGATCCCCATCAAGGCCATCAGGCGGCTGTAGCTACGCCACCGACACATCATAATCAGCTGCAGGCAGCACCAATACACATAACCTCAATGTCGGCCGTTGCGGCTGCAGCCGCGCATCATTTGCGCACTACCGCCACCGCAGCTGTCTCGCAAATGTCTGCGGCGCCCCAGCCGATTCTTGTCTCAACAGAAGTAAGATATATAAAAATATAGATGCTAAGTTTCAAATAAAATGTGCTTAATTTTCTTGATCACAGAGACGTGTTTTCCCACCTCACCGTCGCATTACTCGTTTCTG